AGATGCAGAGAGTGACCGAACCTAGTGTAGGCACCACGTCGAGCCGTGTGGTCGTCGACGCGGTAGAGGGGGTGGAAGCAGAGGATGGAGAGAGGAGCAGAGATTCGACGTCTTGAGTCGGAACAAAAGAAGACGGAGAGAGCGATCGAGCCTAGTGCAGCCACCACGCCGAGCCGTGTGGTCGTCGACGCGGTAGAAGGGGTGGAAGCAGAGGGTGGAGAGAGGAGCAGGGAGTCGACGTCTTGAGTCGGCCCAAAAGAAGACGTAGAGAGCGACCGAACCTAGTGCAGCCACAACACCGAGCCGTGTGGTCGTCGACGCGGTAGAGGGGGTGGAAGCAGAGGGTGGAGAGAGGAGCAGAGAGTCGACGTTTTGAGTCGGCCCAAAACAAGACGCAGAGAGCCACCGAACCTAGTGCAGCCACCACGTTGAGCCATGTGGTCGTCGACGCGGAAGAGGGGGTGGAAGCAGAGGGTGGAGAGAGGAGCAGAGAGACGACGTCTTGAGTCGGCTCAAAAGAAGACGCAGAGAGCGACCGAACCTAGTGCAGCCACCACGCCGAGCCGTGTGGTCGTCGACGCGGTAGAGGGGGTGGAAGCAGAGGGTGGAGAGAGGAGCAGGGAGTCGACGTCTTGAGTCGGCTCAAAAGAAGACGTAGAGAGCGACCGAACCTAGTGCAGCCACCACGCCGAGCCGTGTGGTGGTCGACGCGGTAGAGGGGGTGGAAGCAGAGGGTGGAGAGAGGAGCAGGGAGTCGACGTTTTGAGTCGGCCCAAAACAAGACGCAGAGAGCGATCGTACCTAGTCCACCACGTCGAGCCGTGTGGTCGTTGACGCGGTAGAGGGGTAGGAAGCAGAGGGTGGAGAGAGGAGCAGGGAGTCGACGTTTTGAGTCGGCCCAAAACAAGACGCAGAGAGCGACCGAACCTAGTGTAGGCACCACGTCGAGCCGTTTGGTCGTCGACGCGGTAGAGGGGGTGGAAGCAGAGGGTGGAGAGAGGAGCAGGGAGTCGACGTTTTGAGTTGGCCCAAAACAAGACGCAGCGAGCGACCAAACCTAGTGTAGCCACAACGTCGAGCCGTGTGGTCGTCGACGCGGTAGAGGGGGTGGAAGCAGAAGGTGGAGAGAGGAGCAGGGAGTCGACGTTTGAGTCGGCCCAAAACAAGACGCAGAGAGCGACCGAAGCTAGTGCAGCCACCACGTCGAGCCGTGTGGTCGTCGACGATTTGAGTCGGCCCAAAACAAGACGTAGATAGCAACCGAACCTAGTGTAGCCACCACGTCGAGCCATGTGGTTGTGGACGCGATAGAGGGGGTGGAAGCAGAGGGTGGAAAGAGGAGCAGGGAATCGACGCCTTGAGTCGGTCCAAAACAAGACGTAGAGAGCGACCGAACCTAGTGCAGCCACCACGTTGAGCCGTGTGGTCGTCGACGCGGTAGAGGGGTTGGAAGCAGAGGGTAGAGAGAGGAGCCGGGGGTCGACCTTTCGAGTCGGCCCAAAACAAGAAAATGAGAGTGACCGAACAAAGTGCAGCCACCGCGTCGAGCCGTGTGGTCGTCGACGCGGTAGAGGAGGTGGAAGCAGAGGGTGGAGAGAGGAGCAGGGAGTCGACGTCTTGAGTCGGCCAAAAGAAGACGCAGAGAGCGACTGAACCTAGTGCAGCCACCACGTCGAGCCGTGTGGTCGTCGACGCGGTAGAGGGGGTGGAAGCAGAGGGTGGAGAGAGGGGTTGGGGGGTCGATGTTTAGAGTCGGCCCAAAACAAGACGCAGAGAGCGACCGAACCTAGTGTAGCCACCACGTCAAGCCGTGTGGTCGTCGACGCGGTAGATGGGGTCGAGATGTGAGGTGAGTCGACACGTTTTTGGGTGACGTGTTGTCAATAGACACCATGGGGTGGAGACGTGAGGTGAGTCGACACTTTTTTGGGTGATGTGATGTGAGTAGACACCATGGGGTGGAGATGTAAGGTGAGTCGACACTTTTTTTGGGTGACTTAACGTGAGTGGTCACCATGGGGTGGAGATGTGAGGTGAATCGACACCTTTTTGGGTGATGTGATGCGAGTAGACACCATGGGGTGGAGATGTGAGGTGAGTCGACACGTTTTTGGGTGATGTGATGCGAGTAGACACCATGGGGTGGATATGTGAGTTGAGTCGACACGTTTTCGGGTGATGTGATGCGAGTAGACACCATGGGGTGGAGATGTGATGTGAGTCGACACTTTTTTGGGTGATCTGATGCGAGTAGACACCATAGGGTGGAGATGTGAGGTGAGTCGACACTATTTTGGGTGACTTGATGCGAGTAGACACCATAGGGTGGAGATGTGAGGTGAGTCGACACTTTTTTGGGTGACGTGATGCGAGTAGACACCATGGGGTGGAGATGTGAGGTTAGTCGACACGTTTTTGGGTGACTTGATGCGAGTAGACACCATGGGGTGGAGATGTGAGGTGAGTCGACAAGTTTTTGGGTGATGTGATGCGAGTAGACACCATGGGGTGAAGATGTGAGGTGAGTCGACACTTTTTTGGGTGACATGATGTGAGTAGACACCTTGGGGCGGAGATGTGAGGTGAGTCGACACTTTTTTGGGTGATTTGATGCGAGTAGACACCATGGGGTGGAGATGTGAGGTGAGTCGACACGTTTTTGGGTGACGTGATGCGAGTAGACACCATGGGGTGGAGACGTGAGGTGAGTCGACACTTTTTGGGTGACTTGATGTGAGTAGATACCATGGGGTGGATATGTGAGGTGAGTCGACACGTTTTTGGGTGACTTGATGTCAATAGACACCATGGGGTGGAGATGTGAGGTGAGTCGACACTTTTTTGGGTGATGTGATGTGAGTAGACACCATGGGGTGGAGATGTAAGGTGAGTCGACACTTTTTTGGGTGACTTGACGTGAGTAGTCACCATGAGGTGGAGATGTGAGGTGAATCGACACGTTTTTGGGTGATGTGATGCGAGTAGACACCATGGGGTGGAGATGTGAGGTGAGTCGACACGTTTTTGGGTGATGTGATGCGAGTAGACACCATGGGGTGGAGATGTGATGTGAGTCGACACTTTTTTGGGTGATGTGATGCGAGTAGACACCATAGGGTGGAGATGTGAGGTGAGTCGACACTTTTTTGGGTGACTTGATGCGAGTAGACACCATAGGGTGGAGATGTGAGGTGAGTCGACACTTTTTTGGGTGACGTGATGCGAGTAGACACCATGGGGTGGAGATGTGAGGTGAGTCGACACGTCTTTGGGTGATTTGATGCGAGTACACACCATGGGGTGGAGATGTGAGGTGAGTCGACACTTTTTTGGGTGATGTGATGCGAGTAGACACCATAGGGTAGAGATGTGAGGTGAGTCGACACTTTTTTGGGTGACTTAACGAGAGTAGACACCATGGGGTGGAATTCTCAGGTGAGTCGACACTATTTTGGGTGATGTGATGCGAGTAGACACCATGGGGTGGAGATGTGAGGTGAGTCAACACTTTTTTAGGTGACTTGATGCGAGTAGACACCATGGGGTGGAGATGTGAGGTGAGTCGACACTTTTTTGGGTGACGTGATGCGAGTAGACACCATGGGGTGGAGATGTGAGGTGAGTCGACACTTTTTTGGGTGATGTGATGTGAGTAGACACCATGGGGTGGAGATGTGAGGTAAGTCGACACTTTTTTGGGTGATGTGATGCGAGTAGACACCATAGGGTGGAGATGTGAGGTGAGTCAACATTTTTTGGGTGACTTGATGCGAGTAGACACCATGGGGTGGAGATGTGAGGTGAGTCGCCACTTTTTTGGGTGACGTGATGCGAGTAGACACCATGGGGTGGAGATGTGAGGTGAGTCGACATTTTTGGGTGACCTGATGTGAGTAGACACCATGGGGTGGAGATGTGAGGTGAGTCGACACTTTTTTCAGTGACTTGATGTGAGTAGACACCATGGGGTGGAGATGTGAGGTGAGTCGACACTTTTTTGGGTGACACGATGTGAGTAGACACCATGAGGTGGAGATGTGAGGTGAGTCGACACTTTTTTGGGTGACGTGATGCGAATAGACACCATGGGGTGGAGATGTGAGGTGAGTCGACACGTTTTTGGGTGACTTGATGTGAGTAGACACCATGGGGTGGAGATGTGAGGTGAGTCGACACTTTTCTGGGTGATGTGATGCGAGTAGACACCATAGGGTGGAGATGTGAGGTGAGTCGACACTTTTTTGGGTGACTTGACGAGAGTAGACACCATGGGGTGTAATTCTCAGGTGAGTCGACACTATTTTGGGTGATGTGATGCGAGTAGACACCATGGGGTGAAGATGTGAGGTGAGTCGACACTTTTTTGGGTGACATGATGTGAGTAGACACCTTGGGGTGGAGATGTGAGGTGAGTCGACACTTTTTTGGGTGATGTGATGCGAGTAGACACCATGGGGTGGAGATGTGAGGTGAGTCGACCATGTCCACGTCCACGTCCACGACTATGTCCACGTCCACGTCCACGACCACGTCCACGTCCACGTCCACGTCCACGACCACGTCCACGACCACGTCCACGTCCACGTCCACGACCACGACCACGTCCACGTCCACGACCACGTCCACGTCCACGACCACGTCCACGTCCACGACCACGTCCACGACCACGACCACGTCCACGTCCACGACCACGTCCACGACCACGTCCACGTCCACGAACACGTCCACGACCACGTCCACGACCACGTCCACGTCCACGTCCACGAACACGTCCACGTCCACGTCCACGTCCACGTCCATGACCACGTCCACGTCCACGACCACGACCACGTCCACGTCCACGACCACGACCACGACCACGACCACGTCCACGTCCACGTCCACGTTCACGTCCACGACCACGACCACGTCCACGTCCACGACCACCACCACGTCCACGTCCACGTCCACGACCACGTCCACGTCCACGTCCACTACCACGTCCACGTCCACGTCCACGACTACACCACGTCCACGTCCACGACCACGTCCACGACCACCACCACGTCCACGTCCACGTCCACGTACACGTCCACGTCCACGTCCACGTCCACGAGCTCGTCCACGTCCACGTCCACGTCCACGTCCACGAGCTCGTCCACGTCCACGACCACGTCCACGTCCCGACCACGTCCACGACCACGTCCACGTCCACGTCCACGTCCACGACCACGACCACGTCCACGTCCACGACCACGTCCACGTCCACGTCCACGTCCACGTCCACGACCACGTCCACGTCCACGTCCACGTCCACGACCACGTCCACGTCCACGTCCACGTCCACGACCACGTCCACGTCCACGTCCACGACCACGACCACGTCCACGTCCACGACCACGTCCACGTCCACCACCACGTCCACGTCCACGACCACGTCCACGTCCACGTCCACCACCACGTCCACGTCCACCACCACGTCCACGTCCACGTCCACCACCACGACCACTTCCACGTCCACGTCCACTTCCACGACCAGGTCCAAGACCACGTCCACGTCCACGTCCACGTCCACGTTCACGACCACGTCCACCACCACGTCCACGTCCACGACGTCCACGACCACGTCCACGACCACGACCACGTCCACGTCCACGACCACGACCACGACCACGTCCAAGTCCACGTCCACGTCCACGTCCACGTCCACGACCACGTCCCTGTCACGTCCACGACCACGTCCACGTCCACGTCCACGTCCACGACCACGTCCACGACCACGTCCACGTCCACGTCCACGTCCACGACCACGTCCACGACCACGTCCACGTCCACGACCACGACCACGTCCACGTCCACGTCCACGTCCACGTCCACGACCACGACCACGACCACGTCCACGTGCACGTCCACGTGCACGGCCACGTCCACGTCCACGACCACGTGCACGGCCACGTCCACGTCCACGACCACGTCCACGGCCACGACCACGTCCACGTCCACGTCCACGACCACGTCCACGTCCACGTCCACGTCCACGAACACGACCACGTCCACGACCACGTCCACGTCCACGTCCACGTCCACGACCAAGTCCACGACGTCCACGTCCAAGTCCACGACCACGTCCACGACCACGACCACGTCCACGTCCACGTCGACGTCCACGAACACGACCACGTCCACGTCCACGTATACGACCACGTCCACGTCCACGTCCACGTCCACCTCCACGACCACGTCCACGTCCACGACCACGTCCACGTCCACGTCCACGTCCACGTCCACGACCACGTCCACGTCCACGACCACGTCCACGTCCACGACCAGGTCCACGTTCACGACCACGTCCACGTCCCTGTCACGTCCACGAACACGTCCACGTCCACGTCCACGTCCACGTCCACGACCACGTCCACGACCACGTCCACGTCCACGTCCACGTCCACGTCCACGACCACGTCCACGACCACGTCCACGTCCACGTCCACGTCCACGTCCACGTCCACGTCCACGACCACGACCACGTCCACGTCCACGACCACGTCCACGTCCACGACCACGTCCACGTCCACGACCACGTTCACGTCCACGTCCACGTCCACGTCCACGACCACGTCCACGACCACGTCCACGTCCACGACCACGTCCACGTCCACGACCACGTCCACGTCCACCACCACGTCCACGTCCACGTCCACCACCACGTCCACGTCCACCACCACGTGCACGTCCACGTCCACGACCACGACCACGTCCACGTCTACGTCCACGTCCACGACCACGTCCACGAACACGACCACGTTCACGTCCACGTCCACGTCCACGACCACGTCCACGACCACGTCCACGTCCACCACCACGTCCACGTCCACCACCACGTGCACGTCCACGTCCACGACCACGACCACGTCCACGTCCACCACCACGTCCACGACCACGTCCACGTCCACGTCCACGTTCACGACCACGTCCACGTTCACGACCACGTCCACGTGCACGTCCACGTGCACGTCCACGTGCACGTCCACGTCCACGTCCACGACCACGACCACGTCCACGTGCACGTCAACGTGCACGGCCACGTCCACGTCCACGTCCACGTGCACGGCCACGTCCACGTTCACGTCGACGTGCACGGCCACGTCCACGTCCACGTCCACGTGCACGGCCACGTCCACGTTCACGTCGACGTGCACGACCACGTTCACGTCCACGTCCACGACCACGTGCACGGCCACGTCCACGTCCACGACCACGTGCACGGCCACGTCCACGACCACGTCCACGTGCACGTCCACGTCCACGACCACGTGCACGTCCACGTCCACGACCACGTCCACGTCCACGACCACGTCCACGTCCACGTCCACGTCCACGACCACGTCCACGTCCACCACGTCCACGACCACGACCACGTTTACGTCCACGTCCACGACCACGTCCACGTCCACGTCCACGTCCACGACCACGTCCACGTCCACGTCCACGACCACGTCCACGTCCACGTCCACGTCCACGACCACGTCCACGTCCACGACCACGTCCACGTCCACGTCCACGACCACGTCCACGTCCACGACCACGTCCACGTCCACGTCCACGTCCACGTCCACGTCCCTGTCACGACCACGACCACGTCCACGTCCACGTCCACGTCCACGTCCCTGTCACGTCCACGACCACGTCCACGTCCACGACCACGTCCACGTCCACGTCCACGTCCCTGTCACGACCACGTCCACGTCCACGTCCACGTCCACGACCACGTCCACGACCACGTCCACGTACACGTCCACGTCCACGTCCACGTCCACGACCACGTCCACGTCCACCACCACGTCCACGTCCACGACCACGTCCACGACCACGTCCACGAACACGACCACGTACACGTCCACGTCCACGTCCACGACCACGACCACGTCCACGTCCACGTCCACCACCACGTCCACGTTCACCACCACGTCCACGTCCACCACCACGACCACGTCCACGTCCACCACCACGTCCACGTCCACCACCACGACCACGTCCACGTCCACGTTTACGTCCACGTCCACGTCCACGTCCACGACCACGCCCTCTGCTGCGTTGCTCGCGCCCTCTGGTGCGTTGCTCGCGCCCTCTACTGCGTTGCTCGCGTGCTCAGCTGCGGTGCTCGCGCACTCTGCTGCATTGTTCGTGTGCGCTGCAGCGTTGATCACGCCTCTGTTGCATTGCTCGCGCCCCTGCGGTGTTGCTCGCACGCTCTGCTGCATTACTTGCGCACTAAGATGTGTTGCTCGCGCCCTCTATTGTGTTGCAAGCGTGCTTTGCTCCGTTGCTCGCGCCCTCTGCTGTGTTGCTCGCGCGCTCTGCTGCGTTGCTCGCCCGCTCTGCTGCGTTGCTCACGCCCTCTGCTACGTTGCTCGTGCCCTCTGATGCGTTGCTCACGAGCTCAGCTCCGCTCGCACGCTCAGCTGCGTTGCTCGCCGCTCTGCTGCGTTGTTCGCGCGCTCTGCTGCGTTACGCGCGCCCTCTGTTGCGTTGCTCGCGCGCTCGGCTGCATTGCTCGCGCCCTCTGCTGTGTTGCTCGTGCCCTCTGCTGTGTTGTTCGCGCCCTTTGCTGCGTTGCTCGCGCGCTCTGCTGCGTAGTTCGCGCGCTCTGCTGAGCTGCTCGCGTCTCTGCTGCATTGCTCGCGTGCTCAGATGCGTTGCTTGCGCCCTCTGCTACGTTGCTCGCGCCCTCTGTTGCGTTACTCGTGCCCTCTGCTGCGTTGCTCACGCGCTTTGCTGCATTGCTCGTGCGCTCTGCTGAGTTGCTCGCGCGCTCGGCTGCGTTGCTCGCGCCCTCTGTTGCATTGCTCTAGCCCTCTGGTGCATTGCTCGCGCCCTCTGCTGCGTTGCTCGCGCGCTCAGCTGCGATGCTCGCTCCCTCTGCTGCGTTGCTCGCGCCCTCAGCTGCGTTGCTCGTGCCCTCTGGTGCGTTGCTCGCGCCCTCTGCTGTGTTGATCGTGCGCTCAGCTGTGTTGCTCGCGCCGTCTGCTGCGTTGCTCGCGCCCTCTACTGTGTTGCTCGCGCCCTTTGCTGCGTTGCTCGCGCGCTCTGCTGCGTAGTTCGCGAGGTCTGCTGCGCTGCTCACGTCTCTGCTGCGGTGCTCGCGTGCTCAGCTGCATTGCTTGAGCCCTCTGCTACGTTGCTCGCGCCCTCTGCTGCGTTACTCGCGCCCTCTGCTGCGTTGCTCGCGCGCTTTGCTGCGTTGCTCGTGCGCTCTGCTGCGTTGCTCGCGTGCTCGGCTGCGTTGCTCGCGCCCTCTGTTGCGTTGCTCGAGCCCTCTGGTGCGTTGCTCGTGCCCTCTGCTTCGTTGCTCGCGCGCTCAGCTGCGATGCTCGCGCCCTCTGCTGCGTTGCTCGCGCGCTTAGCTGCGTTGCTCGCGCGCTCAGCTACGTTGCTCGCGCCCTTTGCTGCGTTGCTCGCGCGCTCTGCTGCGCTGCTCGCGCGATCGGCTGCGTTTCTCGCGCCCTCTACTGCGTTGCTCGTGCCCTCTGGTGCGTTGCTCGCGCCCTCTGCTACGTTGCTCGTGCGCTCAGCTGTGTTGCTCGCGCCCTCTGCTGCGTTGCTCGCGCGCTCAGCTGCGTTGCTCGTGCCCTCTTCTGCGTTGCTCGCGCGCTCAGCTGCGTTGCTCACCCCCTCTGCTGCGTTGCTCGCGCCCTCTGCTGCATTGCTCGCGCCCTCTGCTGCGTTGCTCGCACCCTCTGCTGCGTTGCTCGCGCCCTCTGCTGCGTTGCTTGCGCCCTCTGTTGCGATGCTCGCGCCCTCTGCTGCGTTGCTTGCGCCCTCAGCTGCATTGCTCGCACGCTCAGCTGCGTTGCTCGCGCCCTCTGCTGCATTGCTCGCGCCCTCTGGTGCATTGCTCGCGCCCTCTACTGCGTTGCTCGCGTGCTCAGCTGCGTTGCTCGCGCACTCTGCTGCATTGTTCGCGTGCGCTGCAGCGTTGCTCGCGCCTCCGCTGCGTTGCTCGCGCCCCTGCGGTGTTGCTTGCGCGCTCTGCTGCATTGCTTGCGCGCTAAGATGCATTGCTCGCGTCCTCTACTGCGTTGCAAGCGTGCTTAGCTCCGTTGCTCGCGCCCTCTACTGCGTTGCGCGCGCCTCTGCTGCGTTGCTCGCGCCTCTGTTGCGTTGCTCACGCCCTCTACTGCGTTGCTCGCGCGCTCAGCCGCGTTGCTCGCGCCCTCAGCTGCGTTGCCCGCGCCCTCTGCTGCGTTGCTCGCGCGCTCTGCTGCGTTGCTCGCGCGCTCTGCTGCGTTGCTCACGCCCTCTACTGCGTTGCTCGCGTGCTCAGCTACGCTCGCACGCTCTGCTGTGTTGTTCGCGTGCTCTGCTACGTTGCTCGCGTCTCTGCTGCGTTGCTCACGTGCTCAGCTGTGTTGCTCGCGCCCTCTGCTGCGTTGCTCGCGCGCTCAGCTGCGTTGCTCGTGCCCTCTTCTGCGTTGCTCGCGCGCTCAGCTGCGTTGCTCACCCCCTCTGCTGCGTTGCTCGCGCCCTCTGCTGCATTGCTCGCGCCCTCTGCTGCGTTGCTCGCACCCTCTGCTGCGTTGCTCGCGCCCTCTGCTGCGTTGCTCGCGCCCTCTGTTGCGATGCTCGCGCCCTCTGCTGCGTTGCTTGCGCCCTCAGCTGCATTGCTCGCACGCTCAGCTGCGTTGCTCGCGCCCTCTGCTGCATTGCTCGCGCCCTCTGGTGCATTGCTCGCGCCCTCTACTGCGTTGCTCGCGTGCTCAGCTGCGTTGCTCGCGCACTCTGCAGCATTGTTCGCGTGCGCTGCAGCGTTGCTCGCGCCTCCGCTGCGTTGCTCGCGCCCCTGCGGTGTTGCTTGCGCGCTCTGCTGCATTGCTTGCGCGCTAAGATGCATTGCTCGCGGCCTCTACTGCGTTGCAAGCGTGCTTAGCTCCGTTGCTCGCGCCCTCTACTGCGTTGCGCGCGCCTCTGCTGCGTTGCTCGTGCCTCTGTTGCGTTGCTCAGGCCCTCTACTGCGTTGCTCGCGCGCTCAGCCGCGTTGCTCGCGCCCTCAGCTGCGTTGCCCGCGCCCTCTGCTGCGTTGCTCGCGCGCTCTGCTGCGTTGTTCGCGCGCTCTGCTGCGTTGCTCACGCCCTCTACTGCGTTGCTCGCGTGCTCAGCTACGCTCGCACGCTCTGCTGTGTTGTTCGCGTGCTCTGCTACGTTGCTCGCGTCTCTGCTGCGTTGCTCACGTGCTCAGCTGTGTTGCTCGCGCCCTCTGCTGCGTTGCTTGCGCCCTCTGCTGCGTTGCTCGTGCCCTCTGGTGCGTTGCTCGTGCCATCTCGTGCATTGCTTGCGCGCTTTGCTGCGTTGCTCGAGCGCTGTGCTGCGTTGCTCGCGCGCTCGGCAGCGTTGCTCGCGCCCTTTGTTGCGTAGCTCGAGCCCTCTGGTGCGTTGCTCGCGCCCTCTGCTGCGTTGCTCGCCCGCTCAGTTGTGTTGCTCGCGCCCTCTGCTGCGTTGCTCGTGCCCTCTGCTGCCTTTCTTGCGCGCTCAGCTACGTTGCTCGCGCGCTCAGCTGTGTTGCTCGCGTGCTCTGCTGCGTTGCTCGCATCTCTGCTGTGTTGCTCGCGCACTCAGCTGCGTTGCTCGCACGCTCAGCTGCGTTGCTCGCGCCGTCTGCTGCGTTGCTCGCGCCCTCTGATCCGTTGCTCGCGCCCTCTACTGCGTTGCTCGCGCGCTCAGCTGCGTTCCTCACGCACTCTGCTGCATTGTTCGCGTGCTCTGCTGCGTTGCTCGCGCCTCTAGAGTGTTGCTCGCGCCCCTGCAGTGTTGCTCGCACGCTCTGTCAAACATATGTTATAGCCTGTTTAGGCTGTAGTGGGTTAGACAATAGGGGGTACAACATTTCTAGGGTTTCCCTATATGTACCCATCTCCTTTCTAGTTCATCCATTCCTCGTATTCTTCTCACATGGTATAGAGCGGGTTCCCTAGTGGGACCGGTTTTTTTTTAAGGGCCCACCACTACGATTTTTTTTTTCCTTACCTGCCTGAAGCGCGCTTCGCGCTTGCCTTATCTGCGCCCCGTGCGCCTGCCCTCCCGTCGCGCGCTCTGCCCTTAGCGGCCCGTCGCGCCCTCTAACGGCCCCTTCGCGGCCTCTTCGCGGCCCTTCGCGGCCCCCCTCGTGGCCCTTCGCGGCCCCTCTCGCGGCCCTTCGCGGCCCCCTAACCGCCCTTCGCGACCCCTTCGCGGCCCTTCGCGGCCCCCTCGCGGCCCTTCGCGGCCCCTTCGCGGCCCTTCGCGGCCCCCCTTCGCGGCCCTGCGCGGCTCTTCGCCGCCCGCCTGCTCGTCGTAGCGGCTCTGCCGCCCCGTCGTCGCCGCCCCTGCCGCCATTGTCGCGGCCACCTGCCCTGCAGCAGCTGCCGTCGCCCCTGCTGCCGCCGTAGCGGCCCTGCTGCCGCTGCCGAGCCTGCAGCCGCCCTGCCGGCCCTGCTTTCCCGGTCCTGCCCTGCCGCCTCGCCACGGCTCCTTGCCCTCCCGGCCCTCCACTCCCGCCACTGGTAAGCGCACCGCCGCACCCGCGCGCTGCTGCGCCCGCGCCGCCCTGCCGAGCCGCGCCGCCCTGCCGAGTCGCGCTGCTGCTGCTGCCGCTAGGCCACTGCTGCTGCTACTGCTGCTATGGCCAGCCCTAACGTACTCACCTTCGATGCTGAGGGTTGAGCGGTCGATTCTGAGGTCTGGGTCGATGATCTGCAGCTGTTCCTACAGTGCGATAGCAAGGATGGAGTCTCACTTTTTGACCTCACTTCTGGCGCCTCTGCTGCACCTGCTGCTGATGCTGCCAGTACAGTTTGCTCACAGTGGACCACGCGCGATGCTGCTGCCCGTCTTGCTGTCCGTAGTCACCTGCCGTCTGCTGAGCGCGCGCACTTTAGCCAGTACAAGACTGCTAGCACTCTGTACGCTGCTGTTGTTGCGCGCTACTCCTCCCCTGCCACTGCTGCCCTTAGCCGCCTCATGCTGCCGTACCTGTTCCCTGACCTAGCCGCTTTTGCCACAGTCGCTGACCTCATTACGCACCTCCGCACTAGTGACACCCGCTACCGCGCTGCGCTTCCTGCCGAGTTCTGCGCCAAGAACCCCCCCCCTATGTACATCACTCTCTACTACCTCGTCACCCGGCTCCCTGACTCCCTTTGCTCG